AAAAAAAGGAAAAAGAGAGAAAGAAAAGGAATATATTTCTTTATTTTTATATTTTTATTTCTTTTTGAGACAGAGACTCACTTTGTCACCCTTGGTAGAGTGCCATGGCATCACAGCTCATAGCAACCTCAAAATCTTGGGCTCAAGCAATTCTCTTGCCTCAGCCTCCTGAGTTGCTGGGACTATAGACACCTGCCACAATACCTGGCAATTTTTAGAAATGAGGTCTTGGGCTCAGTGCCTATGGTTCAAGTGGCACTTGAACCTGGGCACAAAACCCCAGGTAGTTTTAATCTCACAAAACTATGAGTGCTATGGTTAGAATGGCTATTTGTCTCCTCTAAAACTCATGTTGAAATTTGTCAATGGGGCACTATTGGGAGGTGGAGTCTTTAAGAGTTGCACACTCGGCTTTGCACCTGTGGCTCAAGTGGCTAAGGCAACAGCCACATACACCTGAACTGGCGGGTTCGAATCCAGCTGGGGCCCGCCAAACAACAATAATGGCTGCAACCAAAAAATAGGCGGGCATTGTGGCGGACGCCTATAGTCGCTGGAGCCCAGGAGTTGGAGGTTGCTATGAGCTTTGATGCCATAACACTCTACCCAGGGGACAGCTTGAGGCTCTGTCTCAAAAAAAAAAAAAAAGAATTGCGCACTCATGAATGGATTAATCTGTTCATGGATTAATGGGTTATCATGGAAGGGGAACTGGTAGTTTTAAAAAAAAATTCAGATTGAGAAGGCTGAGTGTGGTGGCTCATGCCTGTAATCCTAGCTCTGTGGGAGGCTGAGGTTAGTGGATTGCCCTGAGCTCCCAGGTTCAAGACCAGGCTGAGCAAGAGCGAGACCCCATCTATAAAAAAACAGCCAGGTATTATAGCAGGTGCCTATAGTCCCAGCTACTCTGGAGTCTGAGGGAAGAGAATTGCTTGAGCTCAAGAGTTTGAGGTTGCTGTGAGACATGACGCTACAGCACTCTACTGAGGGCAACAAAGTGAGACTGTCTCAAAAAAAAAAAAAATTCTTGTCTCAGTGCCTGTGGCTCAAGAGGCTAAGGCGCCAGCCACACACACCTGAACTGGCGGGTTCAAATCCAGCCTGGGCCCGCCAAGCAACAATGACGGCTGCAACTAAAAAATAGCCAGGTGTTGTGATGGGCGCCTATAGTCCCAACTACTTGGGAGGTGGAGGCAGGAGAATCACTTAAGCCCAGGAGTTGGAGGTTGCTGTGAGCCGTGATGTCACAGCACTCTACCCAGGGCGACAGTTCTGTCTCAAAAAAAAAAAAAAAATTCAGATTGATATGAGGATACAAATTTTTAGGTTAACAATGTCTTCATTTCTAAGGTGAAATTCAAATTATAGTTGAGCCCTTAACCCAAGGGGTGTGCTGTATACCCTTGGAACTGGTAGCTTTTTTTTTTTTTTTGAGACAG